TGTTCGTTTTCGCTTTATATATATATATGAAGGCTAATATGTATTACCAATGGCATGGTTTGTGCCGTGGGCAGACCTACGTACCTCAGATTTCGCATTTAAAAAGTACTGAGAAGTGATGTCAAACTTTCGCTAATTCCATAAGGGAGACGCACCGCATTACGACACCTTTTTAGCTGTTACAATTGCAGTAGGAGCTTAGTGCACCGCCTTCGCCCGAAATGGTGCACGATGAAGTTAATGAGGCTTAGACCACAACCAAAATGTTGTTAACAGTACCTCAGAAAATAAATTTGATACAACATGGAAATGCTCATTATCATCATTGCATCAAATTTATTTTCTGAAGCATCACTAAGACTACGAATAGAGGCAGCGGAGCTAATTATATAGGTAAATGAAATGCTTAAAGAAGCCGTGGTTGAAATAAAAATTGCATTCTCCGCCACATTACGCATGCGATATGGTCCTGGTGTTTTGCCAGTTGATATGGCATCTTGATATGGGCGCACTAGAAGAGTCTAAGATTATTTAGTCATGGCACATATAAGTTTTTACCACACGATGAGTGGTCCGTGTAATGCAACCATTGATGTTCCAGGAGACGACAAAAACATTTGAAGAGGCATTACATGAGATTTTGGTACTTCAGTGTCAGTTAATTCTAATGGCTAATCCGAGCAAGGGTCATTTCCGACCACTGCTACCTATACCCAGTTGGCGAGCTATCTGTATACTGCCGCATTTGAACCATCAAGTCATACAAATAGCTTCAATGTCAGTAAACACCAACGTGAGAAGAATAAAGCTCATTTTCTAGGATTGTTACCACCATTTCGCAGTAGAATGAACGTGGAAAAATGAAGCAACCATTCTAGCATACATACCGACGATTTGCCACCGGGCAATATGAACATTATTGTAATTCCACCCTGTTATATCGACTAATACATGGGTGGTGCTTACCAATAATTTGTGCAAGCCTCTGCAAGCATTCAATATATAGTGTGCTAGATTAAAATGCAAAGGTGGAGGTCATATCAGTTTAGTTTAGCACGTTACGCTTGGCATCCATATAGTTGAATGCGTTACTTGTTATAAAAATATTCATTATCATAAAAAATATTCAAATATTCAAGTGAAAATGTTCATTGTCGGAACTGGCACGAAAATTAGACTTTTACGTCATCTACTAGCAATTACGACTGGGATAAGCACACCTATGATCTGATCCAGACACTTCAGTCATCAACCGTGTTGGTGCTTGGCGCCAGTGGATGACTGAAGTGCACTCGTGGATTGCTACGTCCCGAACATCAGCGTAACGTAGCAGCGCCTGGAGTCGACATACAAGTCTGGCAGCCTGCAAGTTAGTTTCGGACTGTCGAGCTAGTGATCAGATCTTGGAAGCACTCCACTTCCATAATGCTAAGTCACATGATGTGCGGAATTGTTGCTGGAAGGACTGGAATTGATTTCAGATGTATAAGATGAAGGAAGATGTGATGCAGTGTTGCATCCTGCAGCATGTGTGTAATCACATTAAGGTCGATAGTGACACCGATCTCGATGTGTTTTCCGGTATTATATGGCAGATAGGCGTTGAGCAGGTTGATTATAAGGCTGGAGCATCTGATACCATCAAGGCCTCGTTGAACAAGATAGATTGTGCATGGCTTTCACTTATTTCACTTATGTTGCAGAGGGCTGGTTCAATATGGTGTGTGTCGACTTTGATTACATGCACTGGTTGGTTTCGGTTGGTGTGGATGACAACATTTATAGAATGTAAAAGGCAATCTCTTGAAACCCAGGTGATCCGGTTTATTAATACCTTTGTAGCACCTTCCTCCGTTAGCCTCGTTACACTCGTGTATGCAGAAACACCTGTCAGCTGAAGCTAATTTTATGTCGGTAGCGGCATTTTGAAGCTGGGGGACAGTAGATGTTAACCAGACCACATGAGCATTGTCTATTTTGATGAGACACACGACTTTGATGCCATAATATCAAAATTCATGTATGACCTCTACCATAGGTATGTGTTACTGGTGCACATGCTCCGATCTGGTGGATGTCATGCATGAGATATGTTGACGGCATCAGTCCAGTGGAGGAACTGGATTCACCGTGCTCCAGGTTATGCTTTACGCCGAAGTTTGCGCTGTAGAAAATTATTGTATACCTAGAAAGCTTGATATGGCTGCGGCAACCACGGTATAGGCGTATCTATTGTGTGCAGGCTCAAGCTACAAAGCAGTGGTAACGATTAATGCGACAGACTTCAACCATTGAGATCAAAGATCAGTATGACCTGCTTATGTAGTTAAAGTGGTGCACTGTTTTTCACTATTTACACTTTTTCTTTGGGCGCCAACATTTTAATATTTATCAGTAGCTGGCGGAAGGCCAGAGCATTCGTTATACGTGTAAGATAACTCGCGCCTTGATGCTTGACATGTGTAGTATGGTAGTTACTATGGTTGATTTTGCTGTAGATCAGCGGTGATGGTGATTCAAATCTTCTATGCCTAGAATTAGGTACCGGTGGTTAGCATATTGCAGATGAATGGCCAGACTAGTGTGTATGATTTGAAACTGGTCGGGACACTCAAGCGGCACTTCTATCTGTTGCAGCTGGAGATTGGTTTGATGGCATCTTTATTGCAGTATCAGCTGCGATTCGATCTTTTGTGACGGAACACCTAGACTAGGGGTATCGTAACAGACTTGGGCACAGGTGAAATCACGTGTTCAGTCTGATCGGCAGCACTCTATAGCACCAGCACATGGTACCGATGAGCCGGAGGGCGGGTTCTGTACAATGGACACATCCAACATAATGCAGTAATTACAAAAAATTACAGTAATATAAAGTAAGACAGGAGCAACAATAGCAATCAAAATTCAGTTCTTGTTAGTAAAGAAAAACAAACGCAAAAATTAGCGCTTAAAATATTATATATATATATATATAGGATTACAACATATTAGCAACAGAGATCAGCACAATAAATCTTAGCGCAGGACAACGAGAGTGCTGGAATATGACTCGGTGCCAGAATCAATAAAGCAACTATGAAGATTGACTTCCAAGTGATATTAACTGTATATATATTTATAAACATGTATTTGTATTTATATATATTTAAATAAATATATATATATATATTTGTATTTATATACATTCAAATAAATAAATATAAATATATGTATATATTTACCCAGTGCATGAGAAGATTAAAGGAGAATGAGGAAAATTCACGATTACAGCTGTAATTTTTTCTTGGCAAATTCTTTCTCTTCGTGATTCACTGATAGTTTATATATTCAAATGGAATTATTTCATCTGACTGATCACATTTCTATGTGAAAAAACTTTTAACTATAAAATATATTGAATATGAGTGGTAACAAAATGAAATCAAACTGAAATCATTGCAAACTGTATAAGTTATTATGACTGTACACTACATACCAATAGCGCTATGCATGTTTCTGTTCCAATTATTGTGCAGTCCTAAATATTCATGCTTATACATATATATGATGGTAATGGTAACTACAAAAGAGGTACTTAATTAAATAAAAATGTAAATTACACATTGCATATGTAGATAGATACCTATAAAATTATTAGCAACTTGGATATGAACCAGAATTGCTAAGCATTGCTTACGCTAATTTTATCATTAACATTACTATTATCATGACTATTATGAATGTTGTAGTAGATGCTTTTGGTTGTCTTTGTCGAACGTTCCCATCTATACTCCTTCCTTTCTTATCATTGCTTTTATTAGCCCTATTTCTTAACCAGTGCTTCTCACCTATGCTCACAGTCGGTCATACCATAGTCTTCTGTCTTTTTCATCAATCTTTGTTGCATAACTGTAGTTCTCTTCAAATACTTCATGATTCATATATCAGTGCGGTCTTTATTGTCATATATCACTTTCAAGCACTAATAATAGCTTTAATTTTTTTAATGGGTAATTGAAGAATTTTGTGTTTTAATTTTCGTCTCAAATATTAGTAAATTTGATTATTTGATTAACAGTGCTCACAATGCTTTGGTTAATTGTGTGCGTATTCACTATACTTGAATTGCATCTACACAGATAAGAATCATTTCAGATTTTGAATATTCTGTCAAGTAGTTATTTATAGAAGTTCAGATTGAATGGACACAATTGAAAAATAAGTAGAAATGGAGAGAATGTGTGAGGGTTTACAGCGACGGGCCCGTCGCATGCAAGAAAATATACAGCAGTCTGTGGGATTGTAAGTTTTGCCTTTCCATTTTTGAACAAGAAATTTGTTAATCATTAGGTCGAATGGAAGATTTACTTGCTTTATGACACATTACCTTGGAATTGAACGTTTAAAATCGGCCTTTTCCATCGTTATACGATTAGTTGACTCTTTATCAATAATTTTACAACATAGTTAGCTATAAGAAGATGCAAAAAAATAAGGAAAAAGTTTAAAACTTGAATAATTACTTTCTTGCAAATCATTTCTTTAAATGAAATTGTTACAAATAAACTGGGTAGTCTTTCAGGTCTGGGAAGAAAGACGAGCTTCAAAGTATAAGTCATATTGAGCAGCGAAATCAGAAAATAATTTCAGCCATTAAAAACACGCGGCAAAACTTACAGAGTTATATTAGAAGTGTCAACAGAGAAGAGACCATCGATAAACGCAAGGTACGCAAATAGGGCTTGATAATGAAAGAATTATTTAGAAATTATTAATGTTTTTAGTTGTTCCTGAATGCTCTCTTCTCAAAATTTTTATAGCTGTCTTTTTGTGAAGCTCAACAACTGACTGTCATCAAAAAATTTTTTAGGACTATTGGTTCTTCAGAAGCTATTTGTTTATTCATTATTTGTGACGAAAACTTAATGGTACTCTTTCAGAGACGGTTGGATGAATTTGGTTTGTGGCAACAGTTGCTTACAGATGCAAAGGAACTGGAAAATGTTTATCCACGTACAGAGCCATCTGTACTTGCTGATATAATGAAGCTCTTTGCAGATGCTGTTGGTGTAATTCTTGAAGAACGAGTGCTGACAGATCAGCTGATAGAGAAAGGGTTCATTTGTTTTCAAATACCAGTGTTGAGCAATTTTAATTTTATATGTAAGGCAGGGTATCAAATTGTAACATTTGTATAGAATTTCGTGGTTATTTTGTAGATTAATTTCATTGCAGTGTTTTGGATGCTTTGGGAAAATATGTAGATGACGATAAAGCATTATCGAAAGCAAAAGAGAAGTTAACACGTACTGCTGTCGATGTTGAAGTTAGCAGAAAACGAAAACTAGGAAATCATGACGAATCTAAAGCTCAGGAAATACAGGATGAATATGATGCGTTGCAGTTGAAATTAGAGTATTACAAGGTTCTTTTAGCAGTTATTTCTGCAAGTAGAAAGTTGTCTGTTGTTTATATACAAATAGCTTTTTTTGTCCTTTCTTTTATTAACCTTATTTCACACTTAGAACCTGTGATTTTGGCTTTAAAAGCAAAAGTTAGACTATTGTGAAAGAAACTTTCGTGTTGAATTCGTCACTCTTTATGTTTATGACCGGAAGTTGTGTCTGAAAGTTAGGAAATCTAATGTTTTAGGACAATATCTTTACTGACATTTTTTTACTGCTGTCAAGAGAAGCCGAGATTGCGGGTGTTTATAAAGAATTGATCATTGCTCAAATGGAATATCATCGGACAGCACTGCAAAAGCTTGAGAACATTCTCCCAGAAGTTGATCGAAAAATTGGTGACTTTATTAATATTGTTCAAAGTTGTTAAGGGTTGTTCGATTTATTTAATTGAAAACTAGTTCATTTGATCTCTCAGTTGTTCGAAATTTTACTCACTGTCAAAACTTATCGATCTGCTCATAAAACTGTTGAAAAGTTATTGAGGTGATAATCTTGTAGAAATATAATTAGTGTGTGGTCTTGGAAGTACATTAATCCGCCAAAGTTTGACATGTGATTATACTTTCAGCTTCATATCCGAAGCGGCCTGTATTTGGTTGTCATCTAGAAGATCATTTGCGGTGTTCTAATCGTTCAGTCGCATTAGTGCTTGAAGTCTGCTGCTCGATTTTGAAATACCAGGGCTTTCAAGAAAAGGTTCTCATTCTGCATATATTTCTCTAAAACAGATCACGAGTATTTTTCCGTTTTTTTTATTTTAATAGTTAACGAGTTAATTCACTCAAAGAGCATTTTCAGCTGAGCGACAACTTTAAGAGATTTTTCGAGAGGACTTTACTTAGCGTAGTTTTAGGGCCTTTTTCGAGTCAGTGGTAACAATAACCGCATTAAACGCTTTAAAGCAGCTTTTGATGCTCATCAAATAAATAATAGTTCGCTAGAAATCACTGAATATATTAGTGATCCTCATTCTGTTTGTTCAGTCCTAAAATGTTACCTTCGCGAGCTTCCTGAACCATTAATGACGCATTCGCTTCATTCTGAATGGGTCAAAATTGCCAAGTAAGTTTTGCAATATCGTTTTTTCCAATTTCATTAATCACAGTTTTTTTTTATTTTAATTTTGGCACATTCTCGGTGGAGTTAACATATTGCTATAGCTATGAAGCATGTAGTTAATGTCTTGTTATAATATTACGTAACAAATCTGATGAGGCCCAATTTTTTGTATTTGTTATGTTTTAGTAACTGCGGTAGCTTCTTCGGTTTTTAATGGCTGTATGTGTAATAACTTTGAGACATGCATTTCATAAATGGCTTTTTTATTATATTTCATACCTTTTCAAGGAAGGATCCAGATTTTCGAAAGGAAGCAATATATCGACTACTTCCTTCTCTTCCTGAGGCAAATCTATACAATCTGGCATACCTTATCAAATTTCTGCAATTGATGTTAAATTTTGAAGAACACACAAAGTTATTATTTCTAATTCTATAATTATTTTTTCTGTATAAGTAAAGAAAAAATGAAATTCTCTAGCCGAATTTTATTGCAGAATGGGTGTGGGTAATTTATCGATTGTGTTCGGTCCAAATTTGATTGATGGTGGCAGTGGTGCTGAATCAGAAAATATACTTGGTTCAAAATTGGTCGAGACATTAATTCTTAATGCCGATTTTTTCTTCCCAAACTGTAATTTTTTTTTAATAAGCCAATTTTTGAATCTTGCTTGTACTATCTGGATTATTTTGATTTTTATACGAAATTTTTCATGCATTAAGGAAAGCGGATGCTAGTCCTAAATTTCAAAGGGATAATTCACCATTTACCATTATTTTCATTATCTATTCACTCGTTTCAATTCTTTACTTTTAGAACTAGTTTTTACTTAGTTTAATATTGTTTGGTGTGATTGTATGCAGAAAAGTATACTTTTTAACATCCAAGTGCCAGTTTTTTATGGAATATTGTTAGCTAAGCATTGTTTGGAAAAAATCTTTGGATCAGTTCACCTAGGGTAGTTGTGAAGTGCATGAATATTTACAGATGATTTCAATTATACCTCACCAATGCTTGACACTTTACCGCAGAAAAAGCTAAATGGTACTAAGGTTTTAAGCGATAGAGATCACATAGTTATACGTGGAAATCAAAGAGAATATCCCGTTGAACGGCACTCACAAAATAGTCTGTAAGTACCTTATTTATATATTTATCTCATATTTATCGTACCTCGATCAAGTTTTCATTTGTTTGAAATTTCGTTAACTGTTGGATTTCAGTAAGACTAAAAATGCTTCGCACTTACGGTCGACTACTTCATCAGTACAATCATCAACAACTACGTCCACTTTACGCACCCGACCTAAATGGCCAGCTCCTCCTCCACCATGTCCAAGTCATACAAACAGCAACAATAATAATTGTGCACCTAATATTTCAAATCCTTGTAGGAATAATTGTAATAATAGTGTGGAGGATATTTCATCTAGTTTAGAGAATCTGAGTAATATCATCAGCAAAAGCCCATCAGTAGCATCCAATGATTCGATGGCTGAATATGGTTCTCCAACAAATGTTAAAGTTTGCGATGATTTTTCTGCGCAACAGCAAGTGACTCAATCTTATCATGAATCAGATCGACCTACTCGCCCACCACCACCTCGGAATGTGCGACGATCATCTACGCCAGATGAAGGACTTCAGACACCCTTGCTTGATTCAGCTGACCAGTGTGGTTCATATGACTTTCTTAAAAGTTTGCATTATAATTCATCATTAAATCTAACTAGTGCTCAGAATTCAGCTGATATTATTCAGAAATCGGCTCCACTCGCAATTATGAAAGATAATCGTACTGTGGTACATTTGGACACCGAAGTATCTCATCAATATAGTGCTTCCACATCTGCTTTTGAAAGCTCTAATGCATTACCAAAACCGCCCTTGCCATATAAGCCAAAATTAATAATTGATTTACAGAAGCCAAATGAGACTACGAAGCTTTAGTTGCTTTTCTACTCATTATTGCGTTAGGAATTCCTGGTCCTTAAATATGGGTGTAGTTCAAGTATAGTTTTTCTTTATATAATAGACCTGGGAATTGAGATTTAAAATCAATTTTACTGACTCATTAGGTTGTTTTTATTTTATTTCTTGTTTTCACATAAAATATATTTCATTCATTTATTCTATATCTTCAGTGTGGTAGTTCGCAACTCAATTTATTTGAATTTAGCATAGATAAAGATTTATGATTGATATAGTTACTATTACTAATACTTCTGGAAATTTGTCACTTGTAATTGGCTTCATGACTTGTAATGTTTGATTGGCTTTCTGAAGGATCATCAGACTGAAATTATTGTTAGTTAGCTTTTAGAAAAAAAGTCATCTCAGTAACGTATGAATGCTTTGACAAAGTCTGTTATTAGTTCTTTGGTTTTTTTTAAAATATAATTTATATTTACGTACAATTAAACAGTTGAGAAAGACAGGTATTACCAGATTGCTTCTCGTTGAATTCATGTATTAGACATGTTGTTTCAGTATCATTTCAATTCTTTCATGTAAATAGTTCTAGAATCAAGGAGTAGTGGGATTCTGAGGTAATGACAGTCCCGACATTGTCTCTCATATATTATATTACAGCATGTCTTGAGGGTACCTCTGTCATTATTTTAGTATGTTTTCAATGTCTAGCTATTAAAGTCTTTATTGTTGTTCTAATCCTAGATATATGATGGTGATTGTACAAATATTTTCTGACTCCTTCAGGTCAGAAAAGTTCTCTGGTCGTGATTGTGTATTATTAGCATATTTTCATCACAAAGCCTTCAATATTCGGCATAACTTTACCACAACACCATCGTTCCCTTCATTCCTTGTATCTAATCTCCTTATGTATATCAGTTCTCGTTGCTACTGGTAAAATATATGGTAATATCTAACCTTCATTTTTTTATCTGCTATTTTGCTAGTTTGTGCGGTGCAATGCGTAGTACGCCTTTTGTCGCAATAAAATTTGTTCACCACGTGACACTACACTGGCAGTTTACTGTCGACATTTTAGCAAGCTTATTCATGACTCTTTCATTTTCATTATCAAGAAAGCGAAGTTTGGAGGCAGAATCCTCGAGAAAAAACCGCATGTAAGCAGTGTTTAGTCTCAAGGATTAGCGAACTTCGTTTACTTCGTTAAAATGTCAGACACAATTCTCATGATCACGTTATTTATCATAAAGTAACCAAATAATTTTGGGATCTTGCTGAACACCAGTTTTGCTGTTCTCCACGTGAGACCATTTTAGGCCAAATTTTACAAGAATTCAATGTACACAGGATGCTTAACTGGCATCTAACTGTCGGATTTAGTTGATACACGAGATCTTTAAGAATCAATAACACATTTCAAGGGAAAATACTTTCCGACAAACTCTAGAAGCCATCATAGAGACAGAAGAATATAATGGGCGAAGACGTGTACACGTTATCGAAATGATTGAGTAGAAGGCAGACTGCATCAAAAAATACAGTTCAAGAGCTATGTAAGGATGTACTGAAATTAAATTTCTAAAGCAATAAAAAAATATTTCCAACAAATGGAATGGCACATATTGCATATAACACACTAAAAGGGATCAAATCAATCAAAGCGTTGCCATCCATTCTTGGGAGCACTCGAGCTCTTTTGCTCCTCTAACTCACAGTTTGAAGTCGCCAAAGGATCAAAATGTGCGAGATCTGATGGGTACTGATGTGTGACGTTAACTGTAGGGTTTTTCTTGTCCCTGGTAGTCGCGTTTTCTCTCAAATTTTGAGATGAAGAAGGACTACTGGTAACATCATCATGTACTACTACAAATGAGTCATCGCCAAAATCAATGAGATCTGGCATCTCATCGTCAGATGAATCAACAACCTACAAGCAATAAGAGATAAAGTAACTGGAAAATACCACAATACTTGCAAAATGCTAACGTGCATACACTCCATTAAAGTCTACATACACCATTATGAATCATAATGCACGCATTTAAATGGTTTAGGAATATCTGACTCCTCAAATTCCATAACTAAAACAATGAAGCATACCTGACTATCAATCTCGACTTCTTTTTCAACTTTCCATTCTTGTGTATCGAAGGATAGCGCTTCATTGTTCGGAAGATGTGACTGTCTTTGAGAAGGAGATCGCATTTCTTTTGGTGTTAGCCGACCGAAGCGGTCTTTCAGCTATGACATTTATAAATTTAAAAATACTGTGCCACAATACCATCCTTACATTCATATACTTCACGAAAGAACAGTTTAAATGAACTGATAAAAAACCAAATAAGGATTGATCAATCAAAAGTTAACTCACCGACATAGAATGGACTTTGTCTTTCAGTAAACCAATCACATCACTTGCATTCTCTCGAACCTAAATATAACGATAACGAAAAAGTAATCAAAACAGATACATGAAGGTTTCACAAACCATATTCTCTTAGAAATGAAGTAGTTCGTGTTTGTTTTGAACTACGAGAATAAATTTAGTGTGATAACTGGCACTACATTTGTTCTCATAATTCAAAATCTATCAAGAAGTTTATGCGTACAGCATACATGTTGTTTACTCGATTAAAACAATTCTATTGCAAAAAGATACAGAGGACAAATATTTCCACTGTAAGCTCAAAGATAACAACTCATTTAATGTAGAATGTGATCCACAACCTAAAACCTTCTTGAAAGATGAAACACTTTTAAACTTTTACAGAATCATTCGCATAATTTAGACCACTCATTCTCTAAACAAATCCTGCATTAACAATAAGGAGAACGCAATAGCAATGTCAATAAAAAGCCTTACTGAAGTTACGGCATTGTGTAGCATTTCTGGATGATTCTATAAAAAACAGTTTTTATACAAGTAACAAATGTTGTGATGAACTTTAAAATTATAAATTTAGCAAGCAATAACAGAAATTTTTGCAAGACTTATTACTACCTGATGAGATGATTTTGATTGCATTTCCATGGCGCGAATCTCCTTTTCAAATTCATCATCAATCGGTTCCCCAGCATTCAATGCGGCGATTCTTTCATCAATAAACTGAAAATATTAATTTTTAAAAACAATTTAGAACTGCTATATTTTACAAATGAGTATAAAAAAAAAGTATTCTTGTGAGAAAGTTGATAACATCGAAGAAGCAAGATAATCCAGAATTATAGTTCTCCATATAAAACGATTCAATATGAAAAAGACTGATTTAATTGCTTAAAGATGCTTACTCGTTCAAGGTATTGCACTCCATCTTCTTCGATAAGTGATCGTAAATAAGACTGCAAACTAGGCTTTTGATTATGAATAAATTTTTTACAATCCCATGAAAAAGTAACTGCCGAACATGATAAGCCTTTCTGATAACCACCAAATAAGAAAACATTTGTCCTGTAAAAATAATTTGTAACTATGATGCTACAAAAAAATCCTTGTATATCATTCAATCTGTAATTGCCTTTAACATATCTTTCATATTCATTAAAAACATTGTATTTTAACCTGAGAAAAGCACGAGCTAATCCGTCCGACAAAAATATGTTTGATGCAGAGCGCAAATGCTGACGCAAAATACTCAGGGCTTCTGATGGCAAATCCACTACATCATTGAAAATGCAGTGCACCGTGCGCAGATCCAAATCAATGACCATGACATCGCCCAGGTCAATACTTTTCACTGACTAAATTTGGGCATGCACTTTTTAGTTCGTACTTCCTCGGCAAAAAAGATACCATATCTTCGTCAAATGATCAAATACAAGGTGCGAAATTTAGAATTTTCAACATTTTATATTAAAAGCGTTTAAACTCTAAATTACTTGTAGATAACAGCAGTAATTTTATTCCATCTATGCCAGGCACAATCAAAACAACAAACCTCCAGAATTTTTTTTGGCACGCCAATAAGATACGGCATTGGGGCCCTGAAATTCAAAGACAATAAAACATGCCATGCTATATCAGGGAAATTCCTCCCATGACGAAAAAGCTTTCGTCTAACTTAATATCGAAATTTCAGATTATAAAAACACAACATCCAGAACATAAAATTCCGAAAACGTAGAACATAAGGCGTGAAATGTAAATTATTAAATGTTAAAAAACTGCAAATAAATTTACATGAGCATATCAATTAAATGGAAAGGTAACACAGGGATGAAAAGACTTTGCCAGTGCATTGGTCTAAGTAACGCAGCAGCACCAAATACACACGAAGAAAGCTGACTCAATTTTTGACTAGTAAATAAAATGCGTCGTTCTTTCAATAATCTGAAATATCAAAAGTACTTTGCAGTAAAATTAGCTCAGCTTAAAAGTCATTCAAGTGTTCTAAATAATCTTACATACTTTGCGTTCAACAAATACTCAAACATAATCAAATCTAAATAACTAACCCTGCATAAATTGTGATCAGTTGTTTTTCTGTAATACCATTAAAAAATTCAAACATGAATTTGTCTTCCCTTAAAGACGGCAATTTGGTGAGGTCAGGAGCAGTTATCAGTACCTGATATATAGCAGTTATTAGTTCTTGACATAAAAAAGGACCAAAAACAACTCTTTATATTTCTAAAAAAACAACTGGAATTATAGCTCACGATAAAATTAAGATCTGAAATTATCCAAAAACAGTTTTAGAATCTTTTACTGAGCAACCTTCAGGTCTAAATAATTTTTCAAGCTTTGAAAATAATTCTGTAATTAAGGTACGAAGCAAAGAATTAGACAAAACAAAAACAAACATTAACATTCGGACTAGACTGAAGAGCAACAGCTTTACACGGAGAGGGAATGCATGATTTGTAGGCACAGTTTAAAAATAATTCTAATTCATCCACCTTAAAAAAGTAACGAAAGTTGAAATACCTTGAAACCAGTGATTAATCTAGTTATAATTTTTGAAGAGAAAAAAGTTTCAATTATTCATAAATTAAAGCAAATCATTAGGATTCACAATTTTTAACATACAGGCCGATTATTCATGATTTCTGATAAATGGTTGAGAATTTTGTAGAAGACATTAGGCCATTGAAGACCGCTGAAAAAATTAGAATGAATTCATCAATAGAATGGAAAATAGTGGGGTTCCAACTGCGAATATCCAAATATTTAGCAATACGTTTACATCAAATGTTCAAAACTCTTCTACAAAACTTTTATATTCATATAAATTTTCTACTACTACATATTTCACAGAGTTACTGTAACTTTATATTATATTCCAAAAAGTCTTATCACTCTAAGAAACTTCCGTTCACTTCAAGACTACTACCACAATACAAAAAAACAAATGCTTTAAAAAATGCTTGATGTCTTATGCCAATGTTGAGAATCGAATATTTCAAATACAAATATAATTTAATACTGAAATATGAGAAGATTACGAATAAAACCTGAGAATGCATAAACATGTGTTATTATGTGGAGTCAGCCGACAAAATGCGTAAGTGTACTCAGACTTTTCGTCAGTTAACACGAACGTGAACATCTGTACCGCTTCCCAATTATCACTACAACGGTCACGATTTGAAATCTCTACCTTTTTTTTAATATGCTAAGAAATGGCACTGTACTTTCATATATAAAATTGTAAGAAAATTAAATTCACATATGAAACAGTTACAATAGAATTTGCTTTTAAGCACTATTTGACTGATGCTGTAATCTGAAAAGTATCAACCTACTATCCGAAACAAATTAACTAATACTACGTGTTGATGCAGATAATACAACGAGGTCATCATCTAAGACTGAAGATATGAAGAATTTTTTAATACAAAAACTCATTCAGATTAATTATCCGTTCATTGAATAAGAAAAAGACTAACTAATGGGGACCACACGGGAAGCAAAATTGGCCAATAGACTTCAGAGTTTGGCAATCACTGAAATCTTCTGGATATTTCTGAAGGATGATTGAAGTTCCATCATCAATCGTAGCACCAACTTCACAAAACACATCGAACAAAGTTGAAACGTCCTTCCTGTAAGCTGTTTGCATTCTGGAGATAAATTAAGATGCTTACATCTACAATAAATAAGAGCAAGAAATACAAAACACAGTAAGAAGTATCTTCCTTTGATTCATACCGATTTCGAGACATGCTTTGTGCTTCTCTACGATTCTTTACTGATAATGACAAATAACGGTAGCAATATCATATACACCTGCACGTAATATTTTATAATGGCCTGTTAACCATTATTTTACCTGTAATCTAACATATCTCTCTATAATGAAATCATTTAAAGAAATCCGTAGGTAGCACTATTCGCCCCCGAAGTTTAATCGGTACACTTTGAGTCGTAGAACTATATTTGTTTTACGATCTCTTCTCTATCTACCACATATAATGATACTATTATCTGAAATCTGCTAAAAATTTTTCCTAAAAACTTTATTTAGAAACTCAGCATGAACTACACAGTTAGAACATTTAATATGCAAACATCATCAATGCCTTGAAGGAATGAAATCACTACTATACTGTGGTTCCTTAGCACCCTTAGGGATAATCTCTAAACTTTTGCAATCCTGTACAAAAATTATAACCAAATTGACGACCTTATATTTATGAAACTTCTAAATATATGGGAACTGGGAAATAACTTACTGACCTACGAAAAAAATATCCTACTTTAGATGGTCAATGCCTTACAGAATCTCTGAAAACTGTTATGAGAGCAGAAAAGATTCAATTTGATACCACATTGTACAGTGGCAGATAAAAACATAGACATTTCCTGAAAGAAACAAAACTCTAAATATAGTTTATTACTGAATTTTCGCGCATTTAAATATTTAACACTAATGCGAAATGCTCAAAGAATCACATCACATACAAAATATGAATAGAAAAAGGTAGAAAGTTAACTTCAATGAATGTAAACAAGATGGAAAAACCAATGTAAATTTAATTTTAAGCAATTACGCGTAAGCAAGGCTAAGATCAGAGAACCGTACATCATATGATAACAGCCGATATAACATGGAAGAGAAGCATACACACTCCATAATAACAAACTAACATTTATATTTGCTGTTGACCGGAAGAACGAATAGATTTGGGCGTAATAAGTTCCTTGTGAAATTGGAAAACAGGCTATTTAAATCCACAAATAACAAGAATAGGATGAATAAATTACACATCATCTCGAATAATGGGATAAAGTTGGATGACTAATGATTAGACGAAGTGTGCGAAAATCTTTGAATTTTTTTTTCGAAAAAGAACCCTAAAAATAAAGACATTATGATGGAAATCGTAGTTAGACCTATCAATGTTGAATATCGCAGAAAAAAGTCTTCGCCACAAATGCAAGGCATTTAATATTCAAAATCACATTTCTGCTATAGATGAAACAGGTGAACCTTGCTAAGCTTAGGTTAACCTGTTAAGCTTATGTGATTGATAACAGAGAGAAACTGAAGATAGAGAAATACAAACTTTATGTATCAAAAGGATAATAGGCAGAACGAGGTAGGGAGCTGAGCTGAGCCCAGCTATATGATTTCAACTCTTAAATTCTAATCATAAGCATGAAAATTTTCTATGTCACTAATATCTTTGGCCATCATATTAACATTAAAAATTAACAAAAACCAATTTAACAATAACTCTTAATTTCAGTGCTACACTATCATCATGAAAAAGTTTAAAGTTCATAATCTGCAACTTAAATTAACTGATGTATGCAGCTGTGTATGATCATAAAAGATAACACTTTATATTCTCATGGAATGTTAAAGTTCATTGTGATAGCATGCATCTGATGAATCATAGGCCGATGTAATCGCACTGCAATGCAAACGCTTCAAGTTTTGCAAAGCAAATCTGAAGCAAAAGCAAACGCTGAATATGCAATCATTACAAATTGGTAAAGACGATATCTATATAAACACTAACAATGATATATCTTTGCCTTAATAATGTGATTAAAAGCATCTAATCTATGAGCAGAAATTTACTTTTAAATTTTTTCTTAATTCATTTTGTCCAAAAAAACTCCAATTTTTGCTCAAAGCCGTTTACCGTAACAGAAAATTTTGGTGATTTCTCGAATTTACACAAAAAACGTTTCTTGGTTTGGCACTTGTAGCAAAAATATTGAATCACCAATTTGAAAATGAAAAATTGAGGTAAAAATCTTAATTCTAATTTTTATCAAATACTTAGTGAGCACAAAATAATTAACTCCGTAAAATGATAAAATCCACCAGATCAGCTACGACAATGCTTCAATGACAAGCTAAAAAAAGAAATTAGCTTCAACTTGATATTTTATAAATCCGATCTATATAGAATGTCTTTAGCCCGCAAAAATTCAAAACCAGCAACACAGCTTCAATAAGAATACTAGAAAAGTTTCAAATTTAATCAAAAAAATTGGAAAATAAAGAATATTTAATTCATTGCATTAACTGTGAAGTGACATAATCATGACAATGCGTATTAAAAGAAAAACTAAATGATTAAAGTACGTAAAATATTATTGAGGTCACTGAAAGCCGTCAAAACTTCTTTGTGCTGTAGTTTTTGTTTTTTTGCTCTATACATGTTTGTTGGTACACCCCAAAATGACTCGGAATTAGCTCTAAAAGTATTTTGAATGCATTAAAATTAAAGAAATTGGTTACGATGGTTGACTATAAATGATTATGAAGTGCTAAAATTTAAATACAGACTCGATTTCAAATAATCATAAGGAGATGCTTTGTGATTCTCTGCATTTCTTTTATTACCGAATGTGGTCAAAAGGCAAATCAGTTAAAGTCAAACATCTTATGAATATGCAAATATTCGTCCCATCCTAGAAAAATTGTCTAAATATGCTATGAGAAATATTACTTTTATCGCTTGAAATCCAATCATTGTTGTCCTAGCAGCAAGGGCTGTGTTCGTTTAGCAGTTCTGTAAATACACATGCTAAACCTATAGTAAAAATAAAGACGATATATGCCAGCAGAAAAACTAGATCAACATAAATTTACACCAATGTGGAAACCGAACAAACTACTTGCGGAATCTCTGAGATAATGAGTATTAGAAAATAAAGATGAATACCAATCAAAGTAAGTTAATTCTATCTTAAATCGTGTATTTGAGAATCCTACGTTTCACAAGGCTAACGAGTATGCTGCAACCTTACTTGAGCAAATTCCAGTCGAAAACATAGTCGTAGGTGAAACCAAGACGATGAAACAGATTCCGAAAAAGTTGGCGTAAATGGGAATAATCCGGCTGTTCTTCAAAACTCAGGCATTTACAATATTTCAAGTAGGCAGCAAATGGCTCTGAAATTCCTGATCCAAATATTCTCCAAATCTTTTAAGACATTAATTTAAAAAAAAGTATACTTATTTCATACTACTTATATTATAGACTAAAATGAATTATAAAATTGCACTATGTATCTTGTAGGAAAACAATCCCAAACATACTTCACTAAGTTGCATGACCAGTTAAGGCTTTATTTTTTTTGTTCGAAGGTGTTTCATAATTGATGTGAGATATCAATGGATACTTGCCTGGATACCCAACACAGAGTTCTTCAATAGGTGTGCTCATCTTTTTTTCTGATATCTTGTCGTATTTCTGCCGTTTTGTAGCAGCTTTCAAGCCCTGCCAAGGCAAGGTACCACGATTGAAATACATAAGAACATATCCTAGCGACTCAATATCATCTCTGCGGCTCTGTTCTGTATTTTAAAAAATTTGTAAACAAATAAGACTTGCAAGTGTTGCTATGACTATCTACTATTAACGTGTACCGAGAGTGATCCACAGGACAGTGCCAATTTCAGAAGCAGCATAACTTCCCGAACTTTAATAGAATTCACTCAAATTCCTTTTTTTGTCACTATCCGGAATGACTCATTTTAACCATGTTTTTCAAATTACAAACTACTCGTTCTCACCTATTCCAAGGTGGGTGTTAATGGATGCATATCTTGCAGTCCCAGTTAAATTTTTATTTTCTCGATATGGAATATGAGCATGCGTCCGACTACAACGATACTTTTTCGCAAGGCCAAAATCAATAATCTGAAAGCGCACTAAAATAAGAGACAGTTAAATAATATTTTATGAAACCACTGTATGACAAAATAATGAGGCTAAAATGACAAAATTATGTATAATATCCACAACAAAGTTCTTTTAATAAATGAAAAAACAAAACAAAACAATACTCACATAAACTAAATTCCCCTTTTTGCCCAATCCCATCAAAAAGTTGTCCGGTTTGATATCACGATGAATAAAATCTCTTGAATGAATATATTCAATACGCGATAACTGAAAATAAAATAGCTTAAAGGGCTAAATTTTTCATTTCGCATACCTAGTGTCTGCAACATGTAAACATCAAGTTTAGAAGATTCTTGAACAGACATGGATTTTATGGATGCACGAATTTGAGTTTTAATCTTTGACAGCAAATAAAGATTCTTTAATCTGTTAGCAAGATGCCGTAACAAGTTAGATACCTTTTATATTATTATCTTTGCTACTGTAAATGTGGTCGAATCTTTCCGGAGCTTGTAATTTATTTCTTTTTCTCAGTAATTGAAAACATAAATTTTCACGACCCATAAAGTCTTTCGTCAAAAAATTGATGATGCATATCTTGAGAAAATAGAAAGTATCGTGAATAATTTTTACCATTTGATCCGCTAGAAGTAATACAGTTTTCAAAGTGAACTTGCGAGAACAAAAATTGAATAAATCTTCCAAGGAAGGTCCTAATAACTCCATCACCATAACATTGTATTCCCCTTCAAAGCCGCACCACTTTATCTAAAAATAAGATTTAAATTCAACTAATGTAATATGTATTAAACAAAATGGCGCCATATTTTTCATCTAGTTCAAAGAGTTCAGTTTCTTTCCATGAATAAAAAACAAATTTAAAGCACGTTAAAAATAAAAAGTAATTCCGACATAATTATGTTCTATCTCGAGCCACGTGTCCCATCTTGTTTTCAGAACTAAATATGTGGATAGCAGAAGTGAAGTTGTAACGATAGAACGCAAATCAGTTACTAGTGTCATTGCTCGTGAAGTCAATGAGACTAATGACTGAACCCTACCTTAAATCAATGGACTGCTAATATTTACTGCTAATATTTACTTGAGGAATGCCGATTCCACCACTCATTAATTTGTATAATTTTGCTTCGATGTGAAGCTGAGGATGTTTGGTTTTGGCACATTCCAATTTGATTGCAACCTCTTCTTGAGTAAGAATGTTCTGACCTGCAGAAAAAGTACGGAGCTGATAAGTGTTAATATATTATACCATAACATGAAGTATCAACATAGAAACATATAAACTGCTGAAAAACTTTACAATGATTGCAACATCCTGGTTCATTAATAGTTCTGGAGTTCGAAAGAGCATTAACTTGGATCTAGATCACAAGATCTGAATTCAAGAAATTATTCCATAACACATCTCGTTATTTCTAAACGATAAAAACAGAAAATATATTACCAAAAAATATAAAATTATATAGTAAACAGATAACATATTATAAACAGGAAATATATTACCCAAATAGATATCGCCAAAAGAACCACTCCCAATTTTTCGACCAAGCCGAAAACGACCACCAACCCTAAGTTCCATTATTGCTGTAAAAAATATCGTATGTGTAAAGAGTAAGAAAACTAATATGTTATTATGAAGTGCTTAAAGTCTAAAACAGTGATGACAAGGAACAGATAAATCGTTATTCCCATCATTATTGTAGTGATTGTTAATTTTATCAACATAATTACAGACAACAAATATCTGTGGTCAATTTGCCTTAAGTGAACGAGGCGAGTTCAAAAAAGAGACTCGGCGATGAAACAAGCTGCTTAACAGCCGTAAGCTAAATCGTATTAATAAGTGCACGTTTTGTCTCTGATGGAG